TCTACATCACTATGAGTCAGCATTGACTCAATGGCAGTGTGGAATACCCACTTGGCCTAAGCACCCGGCTTCTTTATCCCCTAACAAGCATGATGGTGAATTTTATGTGTTGACTGGGCTTGGCTATGGCACGCTGATATTTGGTCAAACATTAGTTTAGATCCTGCTACGATGCATTCATAGGTGACCAGCATAGGTAGAAGCTGGTTTAATGACTAGCATAGGTTTATGTAAAGCAGATTACCCCTATTTAATGCAAGTGGGCTTTGTCCATGCCATAAAGGATCAAAGAGCAACTCCAGAGTCGAAATGCCCATTCTGCAAAAAATTTCCTCCCTCCTCTACTGCCTACCCTATCAATCTGGGACAAAATGCTGAATCTCCAGCCTGTTGTCTGACCTACATGTGGGCCGATAATCATGTGGGCCGATTCCTCAATATCTCTCTGTGTCTGTATGATTGTGTGTGTTTATGTATGTATGTATATATGCATGAATCAACCAATCAATTATCTTAGTGGTTATGTTTCTCTGAAAGACCTTAAGACACCAGCACATTACGACAAACAGTCAAATGCCTTGAGGGGAGGGCAACCCATCACCTTCATCTTTTAATCTTATTTCCTACATACGATAGGACCTAACCTCATTTTTAAGGAGTAAGAGTCACACGATCGTTACCACTGAGAAGCACCTTCACAGGGATGGAGATACAACTGCAGTGGTGAGAGCTCCCAACACACTACTGCTGTGGACAGGCAGGCAGGAGCAGGTGTCTCAGCCACCTGCTTTATAGCCTCACCTCCTAGCTGGTCCCCCACAGGAGCCCTTCTCTAAGTACAGTGAGTCCAAAGATAGCCCAGTCTCCACTGATTTATCTTACAGACAATGAAGCAGGGGGCTGAAGGCAGCTGCTGTCTGCCCAACGCCACCTAACTTGCCTGGTGGGTATGGATGCAGCTTTGCACTCACTGGCTCCCTCTGCAGCCAACACATGGGCTCTGGGAAGGCGAAGGCATGATGTGCTCTCTCTGACAGCCTCTTTGCATCTGGGACAGTTGACGCCACCAGGTTGTGGCTCCCAGACAGGACAGAGAACTCCTGTTGGAGCAGGGTCAACGATAACCTGACACCAGGTCTGGGGTGTCCTGGGGCTCAGGGTGGAGGCACAGAAGTACAGTGGGCTTTGCACAACCCCTTTCCTCCCAAACAGGTGTCACTACAGCCAGGGCCAGGAACACAAGAGGGGAGGGCCTGCGAGGTCAGCTCCTCCAGCACAGCACTTACAGAGGTTCCTGGGAGAGAACTTAGCCAGGAGCAGGCTCAAGCTGGCAGGACCCTGAACGAGGGGAGGAATCAGAGCCTCGGAGGTCTGAGAATCTCGAGTGGACAGTGGGCAGAGGATAGACAGGCAGAATGACATGAGAGGCTCATGGCACGCTTCTGATCCACAGAGTGTTTCACCGGAATCTAGTCTTTCCCAGCTTGGAAATGTGATAAAACACAGCAATGTTCATGACCACGAAGACTGAGAATGTCCCTAGCTGAGGTGACAGCACTTGGCAGGATAATGAGGCTGGGAAGAAGGACTGGGGAGTGGGGGGTGGGGTGGGGGGCACCCAGTATAGGAGAATTTGGAGCCTGCCCAGATGCCACTCCCCTGAGACACCTCTCATGTGGAGAATGCTGGGCAGTGACTGAAGGTTGCTTGGCTCTTCCGGGGAGAATTTGCTACTTCCACCAGCCTTTTTTATTTCCCCAGACACATCATCTGTGCCTCCACTGGGCAGGTCATGTCCCTATCCCTTGGAAGCAGGGCCTTGGGCAAGAGTAAGGTTGCTCCTTTCACATAAAGGCTTGGATCCCTACTTTTTCCTCCCTGAACCCCTTCCTTCATTATGGATCTGTTCACGAATGATCAGAATGCAGTTAAAGAGGCTCTGGCTTTGTGACTGAACCCAATCCTTCCCTGGATGAACAACGCTTTGTTCTTCTCATGGGCAGACTAGGCTTTTCCCCAGGGCCCCAGGAAGCGTCACAAAGGCCTAATACACGGGGCACACTTGAGCTATTTTTATACCACTTCTGAACTCTTGACTGGAAGCTGCTTCAAATGTGATTTCCTCTGGCTTTCAATGAAAGGAAAAAGCACACCAGACTTCTCTTTCCTCAAGCAAGCAGTGGCGCCCAAACTATCTTGCACGCCAAACCTGTGGCCTTTGAGCTGGCACCAACCTACAGTGACTGCCCCCCGGGCCAGAGCAGAACTGCTCCGTAGGCTTTCTAAGGCGTTCATCTTAATGAAAACAGATGGGCTGGTGGGTTAGAACTGCTGACCCTTTGGTTGGCAGCTATGTGCTTAACCATTATGCCAGAAGGCTTCCCTTTTGTTGCACAGCAGAATCACACAATATTATCCTATCTGTAGGCTTCAGGAGCTATAGCCTGGTTGCCCAGCCATCATTCCCAGCAGTACCAGGAAGCCACACACTTCCTGAGATTCACAGCCAGAACCTGGTATGGAAAGGACCCTTGAAGGCGCGTCTTTGCGGTCTACTGCTATCATGGCAATGCCACAAATGAGCGGCCTTAACAAAGAGACATTTGTCTGCTCAGTTTTGGGGGGCGTCCGCTCTAGGGGTGGGCTTTCTCTCTGTGGAGGCTCTGGAGGTAGGTCCTTGTCCTCTTATGGTTCTGCTCCAGGGCCCTCTTCTTTTGGTGTGGCACCTCCCTTCCCCCAACTCTCCTTGGGCTTCCCTCTGCCCGATCTGCTTCTTTTGTAAGTCAGGGGGCTTGGATTTACAACATATATCCTTAGGGGGCACAATCCAATCCATACCAAGCAGGTAAATAAAATGAAAAAGAAACAGTGACTTTCTAAAGAACCCTTCGTGCTCTTGCTGGTCTTTGTAGATTTGAGAATTCAGTCACCAGAAACTCAGATGCCAAAACAACATTATCACAGGGAACAGGCTCTGATCCCAGGAAAACCCTCAGCAGGCAACATCCCCAGGAGTCTTTGTTCTGCTAGCAACGTGAGTGTGTGCACGGGGGTGGAAGCCAGTTTTTCTCCCCGGCTGCCGAGACGGCCAGATAATATTTTTGTGGCTTTATTTTAGGGCAGCTTTGTAAACAACCTCAGTGACAAGTCCACAGATAGCTTGTCGAGATCCTTTTTTGACGCAGAAGGTCACCAGGGAGGTAGACAGCCCAGATGTACTCAAACACGGGACCAGAGCCAGGCCCCCGCCAGTGCTGGCTCCCTCACAAGGGACACTGACCTCACCTTCTAAGTTTGATAGTGCTGCCATGGGACCTGCCCGGGTGTGAGGTCAGATGAGAGCCACACTGGGAAGGGAGCAGATGTTAGTGTGCATGCCTGCAGGGAGCGGGATAAAAACTCAGAAGAGGAAAGAAGCGTTGGCTCAACGTGATTGAGAACAGCCCGGGTACAAGAGGGGAGAAGAGGCTGTTGCTGTTGGGAAAACAAAGAACAAACAACATGAGAGAAACGTCTCAAGTGCTGTGGCCAGCCCCCTGAGGAGAGAGAGGTCCCTCTCAGTTGTACCACCTATCCCCCAGTGTTACTGATTTAATTGTACCCCCACCCAAAATGTCTGCTGTAGAACCTCACATAACCCTTTCTATGGATGGATATTACCGGCTTCGGGAATAGGGACTTGTGTCTCTCGAGTCAGTGGTTTGTGAGACAGGAAGGGGCACAAAGACACAAATGAAGGAAGCGGAAAGCCACACCATGTGAGGAGCGCCAAGGAACCAGGGACCGGAAGCTAAAGACACGAAGATCTTCTCCCAGGCCAGGGCTGACGCAGAAAAGGCTTGCCCCTAGAGCCAGTGAATTTGGACGTCTAGCCTCCTCAGCCGGGCAATTATACATTCGTGTTCATTGAAGCACAGAGGGTTTGTTATGGCAGCACGAAGACATGACGACATTGTGTCAATTACCACCACCACACTCATGCATCCTCCTCACCCTCCAAGCTCTGGATCGCTTACACAGGTTCTCCCCTACAATGTATACTTACCCCCTAGCTCTGAGTTACCCCAGCGTGACAAGCTATATCTGATCACCCTCTAGTTCTACCATTCATGCTGGGCAGCTTCTAGTTCTAGGACTTACACCGAGGCACGTCCTGGCTGCACCCCTTACAGCTGGCCTCAGTTTCCTCCGTTGCGTAATGCAGATAGCATCTACACCGAACTCACAGGCTAGTTTTGAGTTAGTAAATGAGCTACAGACACAAATCGCTCAATAAATATAATAACGCTGTTGTTACTCTTACTACCACCACCCCACCCTGGGGCATAATTGGGGCTCCCAGCATCCCTGCAGGGGGTCTACCCCCCATATCATCAGGCCCTGCCAATGAGGGGGGAAGGAGCTTGCAGCCCATTTCTCTACCCAGGAGCCTGGCAAGTTAACTCACTGGCGATTTGTTCTTTGTCGAGTTGTTCAAACTCTCTGAACCTCAGATTCCTCAAATAAGGCTAACAAGATGAAGATATATACCTCATAGTAGAAAACAGATCCTCTCAAAGGTGGCGCTCACCTTCTGGGTTAAGAGAAAACGCCTCCCCTTTGAGCAGACCATATTCAAAGTCAAGACACAATATGGAAACTCTTAAAATTACCATGAACAAAATGAAGTTCCGGTGTTTGGAAGATGCCAGAGATTTAATACCTCATTTGTCGGGATCGGGAAGATGATTTGGTGGCGTATTACTTCCGAGAACTAAAATTAATCTGTAAGTAGGACACCATCCCTTATCATTTTTCTGAGACTCGTTCTGAAACAGATACATCCCCACCTTCAACACTGGAATTCCCGCCACTAAAACAGCCTTCTAAGGCAACCATAGAACAGCTAAGCAAGAAAAGCACCAGAGAAAAGGCCCATCCCGGGCCGCCTCCTCCTCCTCCCAGCATCAGTCTGCACGTCCTTCAGACCCCAGAGCCCAGCGGCCAGCGCGCATGCTCACCTGCTTCGTGGTGCACTGGCTGGGGGGCAAGGAGCCTGGGGAGAGGACCGGGGAGCTCCCAGCGGTGCAGAGCTCAGGAAAGGGGTTGGGGATTGCTGGCAGAGACGAGGTCCGGAACTGCTGGTCTTCTTCCTGAAGGCGTCTGGGAGGAAAGAGTAAGTAAGTGCTTGTGAAAAGCTGTGAACCTCAGACCCCCAACCTGTGGCGCTTCCCTCCTCCACAAACACCCCAGAGGACCAGGTGTGGTTAGTGCTGTACGGGTGGCATTTGCTCCTAATGTCTCAGCAGAGTTTTTTCAAGGAATACCTGATGTGTGAAGAGCCTTTCTGAGAGCACTCTTGGGGAACAATAATTTTCAAGGACCTTGAATGAGTATTTATTTAACCAAATGAAAAGACACAGAGAGGCGTCCTATGTCCTCATCTGAATTGTGGAGTGGATACTTATTTATCTTTTAAAAATGCTTGTTGATACTGAATTTATTGGGAAGAATGCTCCTGTACCTATTTTCCCTACAGCACAAAAGACTGCATTGATACTGCCTCAGGCAGTGAGTCATGTCTGAATCCTGTGAGCCCTCCTCCTTCCTCTTGTTTCTCTAGGGCCACCTGCCCCTGTTCCCGAGAAAGCAGAACCTACTACACTCGAAACTCAGTAAACCACACTCCACAGGGCAAACCAGATGCCATTACGAAAGAACAGCACATCAAGATCTAAGTCAGAGCAAAACCAATGCTACTGCCCAATGGTAACCATCATGAAGGTCATGGCCAACAGATCCCTGGCACAATTTCAGGGCTTCCTTATAAAGGGCACCTCTACCTTCCATATGTGAGGGCGGATTTGGGGCTCAGCCTGTAGACCCCACTTCAAGGAAAGAGGGGGAAAACATGAGCTGCAGTTATTGGGCCTTGGTCACGGCTTAGCTTTGGCCCTGACCTCCTCACTGGAATACACCACATAAACCCTGCAAACAGGTTGTATCTTTTACACAGCATGGTAAAAATCTGACTAAAACGGGGATCCATTCATTCACAGCCAGGATTCTCTTTAGCTAGCCCTGCATGCAGTAGTCTTTGTATCAAACCAATACAGAGGGCTGAGATCTTCCAACTCTGACAGCTAGGGTGTGTACAGTAAATCCCTTGTCACACGCCCACTATGTCCTATGGAAACCTGTTTTTCCTTTCCTGGTGCATCCAGACCCTAGCAGCTCCATATATCCCTCTCTTTTCTCTGTTTCTTCAGGCCTAGTTCAATAAGGACCAGCCCTTTGCCTCGCCCACACCGACTCACCTGAGCTAGCTTGGCTCCTAGGCCCTTTATCTCACTCCCATTCAGCTAGGGCTAGGTCAGTAGGCACTGATCCATTCTCTCTCCCATCCTCATTCCCCATTCACAAAGAAGACCCTTTCCTTGTTTCTTAGGTCTGATATTCTATTGAAGGGACTCATAATCTGTGAGGACAGGGCTATCTTTAAAAGGGGGTAAAAAGGATACAAAACACTTAAGAGTGAGGCCTGAGGAGGGTCCACATTCTTAGGGGCAAAATATCCCTCTTCAGAACAGATGCTCATTCTCAGCACTCAGGACCCCCCACTGAGCCTCCAGCTCCCAATACCTCTGGCAGCCTCGCCCTGTGGCCATGGTGGATTACATCACGCCTCCTGGGATTAAGTCCGTATCAGGCTCCCAGTTGGGCCTTGCTGATTTGGTCAGCTCCCACTCATTGGCCCCTGGGACAGTACGACTCTCGGGCATCAGGACAACTGGTTACTACAAATGAGAACATCCGACACCTCACATGTTTTCCTAGGAGCTATGTCACTAAAGAATGCCATTTTGTGATGTGAACGTTTTACCTTTTTCTTCTTAGCAACAAAACTGGATTGTCAAGGAGGGCTTGTCTTATCAATCCACGCGAATCGCCAAGAAATGATACCAGGAAACGGAAATTAACAGAAAACACGACACCACAATTGCTCACATAGGACGGAGTGTGAAATACATGAGAGTCAGTCCTATAAAATCTTGACAACATACCAGAAAGTTTCTTTTCGCTGATAACAAATACCACTCTTCCCCCAATAGTTCTGCCTTGACAAGACATCCACAAGAAGTATGCCACTTGCTAAATACAAGAGGGAGGAGATGTACCCAACACTATTTTCATTCATTCCATTCGACAGCCTCTAACCAAGGGCCACATGCTAGACAGACTTCTTTTTGGTTTTGACTTAAGCTTCTTTTCATGTGAACATCTTACAATGTTGTATGTCGACTTAATAGTATGACTTAAGTCAATATATTGGCTTAATTGTTTGACTTAAATCAATATATTAACTTCATAATAGTTCCAAATAATAGAGCAAAACTAATGAGCATTACACCAAGCTGAGAAACTTCTTGCTACTCCATTTCCCTATTTCCCTTTGCCCCTTCACACTTCTTCAAGAACTAGCTCAACGGTGATGTTGCTTGGGAAGCTGTCCCTACCCTCTCCAAACTTTTGCTATGTCCTGTCCATGCCATGCAGCTATCATAATAATTTTTAATTATCAAGGGTACATGAGGGAGAGGGGAGTGTGGAGGAATGGGAAAAATGAAGAGTTGATACCAAGGGCTCAAGTAGAAGGCAAATGTTTTGAGAATGATGAAGGCAACAAATGGACAAATGTGCTCGACACAATGGATGGATGTCTGAATTGTGATAAGGGTTGTACAAACCCCCAATAAAATGATTTTTAAAAAAAGAATTAGCCCTCCAATTTATGCTTCCACTTATCCCTTCACGCCTGCCCCAAATCCATCTGGCATGCACAGTCAGCCTACCCAAACTCCAAATCCAAGCGCATCATTCCCCAAATCAAAAACATCCCCTCTCTTCCCACTTCGCATGGCACACGTAGCCCTTCATGATCCGTACAAAACCTCTAGGGACATCTCTGCTGCTCACAGAATCTCGCGCTTCATTTCTGACCGCCTGTTCTGAGATGTACTATGCTCAAGGAGCCTACCCCAGTGTCCCTAGCAAGTTCCTGCCACTCTTGTAGGCTCGCACATGGCAGTCAGTCCACAGGATGCTGAGACGCACAGAGACCTTTTTAAATCAAAACGAAGACAAAACGTGAAGATGCTGGCTCTTGACCCAGCCTCCGGGCTTGTCTATGCTTTTCTGAAGGTGGGGCGCTCTTTCTCCACACCTTCCTTGAAGAGCCCCAGAGAGCTCTGTGCTCTCCGCTCCCTACCACACCAAGCTGGCAGTGTGGGCATCTTCAAGGGTCTCACACGTCCCTTCTTTTTCAGTGAGTTTGGAACAAACAGAAACATGAAGGGGCAAGGCACAGAAGGGAGAGGATAAGAGTAGACGGGATATGGTTCCCAAAGAAATTCTTTGAAGGGCAGCCGTGGCTACCTCAAAGAGGGAGGAGATGCACTGCTGTGACGGGAAACGTTTTCTGTGGCAACTTCCCAGACTTTGTCTCCTCAATGCAGTTTTCATTTTCATTTAAATATCTTCCTAATAATCCTCCACAATCAGCCTGCATTCTTTTGAGGAAATCTATTGATATTATACCTTTAGGATCCTCCCTAACAGTAGCAATTACCTCTGACCTGACCTGCTTTGAATTTAACCAACCCAGTAGATATCATTAGAAGCACGAGATCTGATTGGACCTTTTTGTGAAGCACGCCAATGAGACTAAGACTAATGTATTACCGGAGAAGACCAATGGCTGCATTAAACACATTTCATTTGGAATAAATCCATGCATGTATAAACCTGAAACTAGCAGCAACAATTTTTTATCTACGCTCATACTTGTTGAATTTATGGTGAGGTTCAACAGTGAAGTAGATATGCTTTCTACTCAGACTCCCCAGGAGAAGGTTTTCAAGTGCAAGTTCTACGGTAGGGTCTGAGATTCTAATTTCTAACAAGTCCCAACAATGCCACTGCTATTGGTCCAGGATTGGCTCTTTGAGGTTCAGCAGGTCATACCACATATACTCGTATATAAGTCGAGTTTTTCAGCACATTTTAAGGAACGTTTTTGTGTAAAATTAGGTGCCTCGGCTGATATTCAGGTTGGCTTATACTCGAGTATATATGGTACTTCCTTATTCCTCCGAGTAGGGATTTTCCTCCAGTGGTCTTCCCAACCATCCACCTAGCTCATTGCTTGGATATATATCCAGTGCTCAATAAAAGGCATCTCAACTAAGCCAGGTAACAGAGTGAACCTAAATGCTGTCAGACCCAGAGGGCATGCCCACATATCTTCAGTTTACCGACTACTGAAATAGGAGCCCTAGTGGCGTAGTGGAGTTGGGCTGCAATCTCCAAGGTCAGCAGTGCAAAACCACTAGCTGCTCTTTGGGACAGAGACAGAGATTTCTACTCCCATAAAGAGTGGTTACTAAACAGAGGGCATTGGGGAGATGAGTATAGGAGATCAAAGGCATAAATCTGACCTGAACAATGAAAACTTTGTCAGTGGATTCCCCCTCTGATGCATGCTGGACCTGACCTGGTTTTCAACAGTTTCTGTATTTTTAGTTTGTTCATATTGGGGTGCATCTCAGAGGTCATTGGAGGTCACACTCAGAAAGTGTGTTGAATGTTTTTCTTTGGTTCAGTGTATGAAACCTGGGGTCGATGAACCTATAGGAACAGCAAGCACTATAAGGGTTTCAGTGGGGAGATACAGTAGGAGGGTGGGGATGGGGTGACAAAAGGGAGATGATGTCGAGGAGTCTGGGAAGAAATAGAATGCTTGGAAACTGTGGCCGCAACTGTACAATTCTACTACGCACGATTGCACATATATGAAGTACGTATGATATACAGATATTTTATTATATATATATATTAGATATTAATCCAACTTAAAAAAAACAACAACACAGTTCCAGTCTCTGAAGCCCACAGGGGCAGTTCTACCCAGTCCTCTAGGGTAGCCATGAACCAGCATCCACGCAGCGGCAGTAAGTTTCGGTGGTTTGAGTCATTACAATGAAACCGTGTATTTGCCTCTTGATTTCCCCGGGCCTACACCATCACCTCTGGTTACGGACTGAATTGCACCCCTCAAAAAGACAGGCTTCAGTCCTAACCTTCCTGTGACTATGCCCTTGTTTGAAAACGGGTCTTTGAAGATGTTATCAGGTAGCATAAGGTCACATGGAAGTAGGGTGGGGGTTCGGATCCCATGTAAGCAGTGTCCTTGTCAAAGAGGAGAGGCAGAGGAAAGCAGCCAGGTGAAGATCCAGCCACACCCCACGGCATGCCTGGCACTACGAGAAGTGGATGGAGGCAAGACAAGATGTTCCCTGGAGTCCTCAGAGAACACCTGGTCCGGCTCTACAGGAGACAATACACAGCCGCTCTTTAAGGCAGGCCCTGGGTGGCTCTTCATTGGCGCCTTCACTGGAGTCCACACATTGTCCACCCCCTCGGCATCCTGCTCTGTAAGGCCACTCACTCTGGGAGGTTCGGTCAGAGTGCCCCATTCCTACCTGACAGCCAAGATGTGCACAGGCTGTGAGCGCTGCACCTTCTGCCGAGGGGATGCTTGTGGCTGAAGAGCCCGTGTCCCCAAGGTGAGCAGCGGGTTGCGGGCATGCTGGCCATTCTGAAGGAGGGGCACCGTCTCCGACTGCATGCTGCAGGTCGAGTACAGACTCTCGAAGGATGAGTTCATGTCGTTCACCAGCGCTTCCAAATCCACGTCATCCTCTGGGCGGCAAAGAGAACAAAGACAAAAAGGAAACCTTAGCAAATGCAAAGGTTCTCCACCATAGTGTGCCTCAGTGATCAGGTTTCAACATGCAGGAGCACCTGTTTATACGGAACATTTATTCTACAGATTAATTTTTATTGGTATTCCAGGTGTGACTCAAAAGTTAAAATTCTCCCACATTTTCACTGGACTCTCGAGGAAACAGCTTCAAGGCTCCACTCATGCACTGGCCTTCCCTGCTCTCATTCCTTTAGCCCGCGCCTCAGCAGACTCATATCCGCTGTCAGGGTGGGCCAGAAACCATCAAGTGTCTACTGTGCCCCCACAGCCCGGGAAACCTTGAGGGGTCGCATGCACTCGGGGATCCAGACTTGGTGGAATCGGCGTCAGGTGGGGGCTGATTTAAAGGACCATCACAGATTGAGAAGGGCTAAGGAGAGCGGCAAACGTGTTCTCTACAGGCAGACATAAGAAAGGTGCTGCGTTGACTAAGGTTACAAGTGATCAAATAACAACCCTCTGGCCAGATATTAAAATCATCAAAGTGCTGAGTCAATAATGAACGATTACCATATGATAAGTAATCTGATCACAAGGGAAACTATTCAGAGGTCAGCAAGACTGCCTTTTTGGACAAACTGGGGTGAAAAGGGGCTAGGTGAGAGAAAGCTGGTTAACAGCAGCTATGAATATGCCCCTTGGTCCCTAGGTAGCTGTACAGTCTTAGTCAAGCCCTGTGTGTAAAATGACAGAGCACTACTTGTTAACAATCAAAACTGTGGAAAATAGCGACCCAAAGAAAGGCAATTGCTGCTGCCATTTCAGTGTTTCATGAGGCTGCAGCATTTTAAAGTATGAGAGAAAGCACACGTTGTGCTGGAATTCAAAAGTCTGGGGGCTCAGAGGAGATCTTGAGTGTGTTCATCATGAATGCCACTCTACTGTATTCCCATGTAGCTGATATGTAATAGTTCTTTAAGCTTTGTAAAATAATTAAGTACACATGCTGGTTTTCACTTACCCTATTAACAGCTAAGTAAGTATCTCTATCTTAATGGACCATTTAAGAATCAATACTGGGTGAATCATAAAGTTCACTGTAATTACAGAATCAATCGTCAGTAACACACCAGGTTGGCCTTGACGCCATGTACAGACTGGCTAAGAGAGCACTCCATGCAATTCCATGGTTTGTCTGTTTTTTTCTAATTACAGCAGTGTTTCCTATTTAAAAAAAGCTTTTTAAAAGAAGAAATCTTTCGCATACAATGGCTATTGTTTTTATCCTGCGTTATAAATCATGCATGCCCTGACTCCCTCTGTTGGTTTTTCCTTTGTAGCTGTCCCCTAAGTCGTTCTGAAGGCTGCTGGCTGTATCTGTCCCAGTGGACAGTTCACATTGTCTTCCATCCTTCTTCGGTCCCTTTAGGAATCTAAGATGATTTTTATGTTCTTCAAAGTCAATAGAAAGGGAGATTGGATATCAAAATACAAATGTGATTCATGTCCTCAAAATGCTTGAACGATCTTGTGACATGAATTGTCCACAGAACTACTTCTACTCTAATACCTAAGTCATACATTTATTAAAGCCAGCTTCACTGGGTGAGGAATTGAATCTAATCCCTATATCCAAATGTCTCAAGCCACATGCTTTTCATAGCAATGAAGAGTCTAAAAATGTCCTCTTATAGAACAAAATTAAATTTTTCCTATGGGGGAAGTCAATGAATATTTTATATGTCTAGATAATATAATCACATATAGATATATGATTTTACTTAAACTTAAACTCAAATTAAAGCTAATGATAGAATCTTCCAAACAGATCAAATGTTTAAAAAAATTCACAAAGATATTAATGAGCTTACACTCAAATTTAGCAAACATCCCATATGACTTATAAACTAGTTAACCACAATAAGAACTTCCGCCCCAATTTTATGTATGTGGTCAACTGCTAAATACTTTTCTAGACCCGGGAACTTTGGGGGACCAATAATCGCCCATTTGTGAAAGCCTTCATGCAGGGTAATTAAAGCGGGGGAAGTCAAATAAACAGGGTATTAACAAAACACTTCCAGACACTTCTGGAAATGAATGTGGAAGATTGTCTATTCAGTGATAACCTACCTCCCCTTCATGCCAAGCCCACAGGAATCTGTGAGATGGCACATCAATATATTCTGGGAATAAATACTGGAATTGAAGGGGGGGGATTTTGACATATAGCTTTTTACATCCTAGATTTATAAAGAAGTATTCACAACAAAAATATGGGTCAAATACCATAAATATAAATAAAGTTATTAATAGTTATTTAACCCAATCCAAAATTGGACATTGATATTGTCCCAAATATTTGAATCACTCCTTATCTCAAATATACATCTGTATAGTTTCACTGTCATTAGCAAACTGAAGCTAGTTTAGTTCAAAAACACGGGATATAAATACAGTGAAATGCTCACTGATTAATATAAGGGAATGTCTTACATAAATCAAATGAAGCATGCTGACAAGGAAAGGGACAGGAACAAAATGCCAGACTGTCGAGGAAGAGAGAGGGAACTAACAGAAGAGGAGTTAATGTCCGGCCACCCCCTGCCTCCGTCACTGTTCATGTATTAGTTTACAGCGCCATCTAGTGTCTTCTTCATATTCCTCATTAATGCCCTTCCTTCGCCGCCAACTTAAATCTGATTCACAGTGTTCCTATCTTCATAACTGCGTAAAGATCACTTACAATCCAATGCCGTCTCTATTTTCTCCACTATCACTCTTTCCTCCCTGTTAAATAATGAGCCACGATGGTGTCTGGGTAGGAGAAGTCTTAAAATGATAAAACTCTAGGGGGTGATACATTATGAAGGAAAGGTACAGACATTCAATCTCAGAAGAAACTGACAGATGGCACTAGATAGGCGAAGTTGCAAATACCCGTGTCATCGTCAAAGTGCTTACACATTTCCACCTGGAGAGGAGTCCAAAGTCCAGCGCCTGCAAAAGTGTTTAAACAGAGACCAGCTGCACTTGGCCAGCTACTTTTGTTGGCATCTAAGCAATAAAGCTTAGTGCAAACATAATTTAATATTAATTTCCTATACTCATCTATTTTAATCCCAAGTACAAACAGTCCCCAGGTTGTGAATGTGAACCCTATAAAGCTGATTATTTTAAACATTTGAGGTCCCTACTATAATTCATAGTAACACACTCTGCTTTCCAACAAGTATCAATATATTATTATCATTGTATTTTTTTGCTACAAAGATGTTAGTGTATCTGTAAGCATTTCTTCCATGTTTTATTTACATAGAAATGCACCCTACATACCAAGACAAACCTTTCTCTAGCTGGCACTAGGTACTATACTTCACAGTTCCAACTTGTACAGATTCAACATAAAGATAGACAGAAAAGAAATTGGTTTATAAATTCAGGACTACCTGTAGTTTGAGTATGTAGAATTATTTTTTATATATGTTGATATAAGTAAGTATAACAAGTGAACCATGTATGACACAGTGGGAGTATTTTCCTTTATTCTTGCTCAGGATATTTAAAGATATTCAGCAAAGATGAGAAAAAATCATTTTACCATAATTCCAAGTAGAAATACAAATATAATGTTCAAATCGTATCTTTTTTTAATACAATACTTTATTTCAGTGGTTCTTACAGGAAGTGAGCATTTGAGGTAGCACAGAATATAAAAATTAAAAAAACCAACAACAACCCATGCACTGTCATCCAGTTGATGCTGACTCATAGTGACCCTGTAACACAGAACCACCCTATGGGTTTCAGAGCCTATGCCATATACCTGTATTGGGGGGCAGAAAGTCTCGTCTTTCTCCAGTGGAACAGCTGGTAATTTTGAACTGCTGACCTTGCAGTTATATCCCATCATGTAATACACACTGTGCCACCAGGGTCCTCCCAAATCCTCAATTTTATTTCTCCAAGATATACAGAAGACTATTCACAAATGTTGCATAGGATCCATACCTGACGTTTTAGTATCCACATGAGAATTCCAGCATACTTTGTCATGCCTGGGATCACCATAACCCAGAATTGGCTTATGGGCAAATGGTATTAGTTGGGCAAGTGGGCTTCAAAAATTTTATAGGAAAAAATCCATGATCCCTAATTCAATTTCTCCATAAACGTTTTCAAAAGCCTCCTCATACGTATGAACAAAACAACTGATGAATTCAAGAGCTATTGAGAACTTGAGTTTTTCCTCACAATCACATACAACTGACAGAGTGAGGTCTATATACTTTATGAGGCAGTTCCTGGGCTCCATCCGGGTTTAGTGCACATGTGAATTCATAAAGCCCCTTCCTCGCTGCTGGGATCTACAGGTTTCATGGACAGAAAGGCTCACTGAAAGCATCTAGATTATTAGCAATACAAAAATAAATCTATGTCCTGCTACAATGTGGTGAGACTAAGCTAAAATCAACTCACTGCTCTCAGTAACTCAGATCAGGCCAGGGTAGTCATTTTCCCTGGGATGCTTTCCACTTGCTTCGTGCAAACGCAGGAAGATGCATCCAGCAAGACCGCAGACGTACTTAGCTGGATCTCAAGTTCCACCGGAATCCCCTCCAAATTCCACATGAACCTTTAAAAGCAGTTGCCAGTTGAGTCAACACTGACTCATGCAATCCATGTGGGTCAGAGTATAACTGTGTACCAAAAAGATTTTCCTTTACCTTTTTATTGTGAGTTGGGTGAAGGTTGATAGAGCAGACCAGGCGTTTTATATTCAGTATTTCTTCCATTTTGATTCATGATTGCAGTCCTCCCAATGTCACACCGCTTCGCCCACTTGCTGCGTTTCCGGTTTCCATTCCACCTTCTTTCCTAACCTTTATGAACTTTGTCCTTGAGTAAACACTGCCTCTTTGATCTCAAATAGTTGATTATTCTGAGGTGTGTATATCTCGCTAGGCATCCTGTTCCTCTTATAGATCTATTGTTT